ACAGTGGTTCTCAACCTTCCTAACGCCGCGACCCTTTAATACAGTTCTTCATGTGGTGGTGACCCCCCCAACCATAAAATTATTTTTGTTGCTACTTCATCACTGTAGTTTTGCTTCTGTTATGAATCAGGCGACCCCTGTGAAAGGGTCTTTTGACTCCCAAAGGGGTCACGACCCACAGGTTGAGAGCCGCACTTTTAGGAACTTGCACATCATTAATAGGTTGATCCTGTAAGTAGGCACTTCTGCCTCTGCACATACACACAGCATGAGCTTCCCGGACCTGCAACCTGAACAGTTTCCTGTCGGCCCACACTCAATTGTGACACTCTGATGTTGCCATCTTGAAATACTTAATGTTGCCACCTTGAAATGCTTAACTTTTTGAGCAAGGGCTCCAGCGTTTTCATTTTGCAGTAAGCCCTGCAAATGATGTAGTTTGTCCAGTCTGGAAGCCTAACTGCTTCAAGGCAAATTTCTATCAAGCCTTGTCGCTACACCTGAGACAAGAGCCATTGGAGAATGGTGTTTGAGTAAAGCTTTCATGAAACCATGAATATTTTCACCATCCACTCGGTTGGCGGGGCGACTGTCACGAACCTGGAAGTTCAAGCAGTCCAAAATCACTTTTGACATCTGATGACAGATGACTGGCTCAACCAGACACTAGGGGTTGGCTTTGGCCTCCCACTTTCATCCTGCTACCAAGTGTGCAAACAGATTCTGCTCCTTCAAGTTTAGAAACAATACCACGCCCCAACTGCTGGTTCATAACCCTTCCCACTCTACAAATGTAATGTGTTATGCAGAATTTAACAATTTCTCTAACATCATTTGATTAAAAGTGTGCAGAAGTGCATCAGATGTAATAAAAGTCATGCACTGTAATCTCAATAATTAAACACTTGTACCAAAGCCTAGACCCAAGCAGTTCAGTGGCTTGTACTTGAACTACAAAAGCAGCTGAGGTGCCCAGCAAGGAGACAAGCATTTGAACCAGGCATTTCCTTAGCTGACAGTTGTTGAAAGGCCTTCCTCAAGGTGAGTGACAAAGGGGCTTGGTAAACTGTGCATTTAGCATGGGACATCCCATCACACACCTCAAGCCATTGCTGAAATTGCAACGGCCACTTTTCGCCAGTCCACATTGGATCCTGACACAGAATTGTCACCATTTCTGATACACTAATTGATCATTCATTCTTGGGATTCTGGAGATCAAAAGTTTGTCTCACTTTACACCTTGCCATTAGCTAATACTAAAAGTACTCACTTTTTCCAGATCACAGAACCTCAGAGTGTGTGTGTGTGTGTGTGTGTGTGTGTGTGTGTGTGTGT